GTCTCAAGGTGAAGAAAGAGACACCCTTTGACAGCAGGCATGGCACTTGGAGCGATATCCCCCTTTGACCATCCTGCCTGTTCCTGACAGCCTGCGGGAGTCAGCTCTTTTACCTCTAGTTGGGATCAGATGAGCATCTGAAGTCTTTATTAAAAATATATTAAGCCCCTGATACAAATTAATCAAAATCACTAAAGGGGATGTTGATCATTTTTTGACTGGTACAAACACCTCTGTTTTCTTGGAAAAAAGTCTCACAGGTGGGCAATATAATTTTCAATTATATATAATATTATATATATCGATTATTTTATATATATATAATAATATATATAATGTATTATTTCAATATAATTTAGCAACTGGTTATGCTTTCATCTAAATTCTGTAGCATACACTGTCCATAACCAGACTTTATCCCACTTCTGAAAGAACAGAGCAACTTGCACTCAGAAATTTTTAACTAGTATAAGTTAAACTGCTTGTTTTGGTGTCATTCAGCTTCCAAACTCAGTGTGGACTCTCAAAAACAAAGCTGGACTAAAGTTCTTCAGCAAGTTCAGGTCAAATTCTGTAACATACTTAGTATCCTCCCACTTTCCATACATTAAAATGTTTAGATGTTATCAGTTATTTACAGATGCACAAGCCATATAAATTCTTCTGACTTATCAGTAACTAGATAAGTCAGTCAGTTCCAAGTATGTACAAATGGTAAATTTGCAGAATCAGATTATGCCTATTTCTGTATTTCTGCAAACTCACTGGAATTAATGGGTTACATGGGAATAAGTGACAGCAGGATTCTGTCCAGAGTGTGCTGCAGTTCACTGTAAGTTTCCCTCACTTCTGTAATTAGCAGTACTTGTTTTGGGATTCTTGTGCTGCATAGCATGGGGCCGCCTAGGAACTGGGTTCAGTAAAATTACAACCCTTAAGTGCTGATGTTAAGGAGTTGGTGTTGTTTTTTTTTTTTTTGGTGAGAGTTGTCATTCTCTTTCCACTTAGTTGTATGAACCAGTACCACTAACATGATTAGATTTTTGCCTGAATAAGGAGTATTGAGTATGGCCAGAAGCAGGTAATTACCATGGTGATGTAAAAGGGCCTCACAGCTCTGTTTTAGTGGCAGACAAATGTTTCATGCTCCTGACTGTGGCAGTCCATTTTGTTTGTTGCCATCATAGTCTTTCAAATTACTGTGTCTTTAAAAACAGTGTCTACAAATTAAATTTTTGCTCATTTCTTAAAAATTTTAACTTCTTGCCTTT